GCTTAGCTTGAGATCAGATGAGATAGGGCACGGTCAGGGTGGTATGGCTGTAGACTTTTGTAATACTGCTGTAAAGAGACATTTCTCCCTCTTCTACAGTCATCTTGGAGAAGCATGATACCTGCTTGATTGCTGGAATTGGTTTTTCCAAAAGCAGCTGATGGTTCTCTCCTAGGTCTCCAGCCAGGGCGTCCTTTGTGGGAGTCTGTTGAGTGCAGGGGATCCCTTTGAGTTACTTTGCTCTTCAGTACAATAGACTTTTCCTTCCGTGCACAGCTCTGGGACCCCCAAGCATTTATTGGGTGCACATGATGATATTCTCTCCAGGTCTATCTTTTTTTTTTCTTTTTTTTTCTTTTTTTTCCTTTTGGATGAGTATAAACTAGTGATTTTTGTAGATTTACCTCCATTTGGACTTGACTGGTATCTCCTTGTGAATTTTTGAGAGGAATACCATAAAGGTGATTGTGTGGTCTTAGTGTAGTCCATCAGGATGCATACGGTTTTGATTTGGTCCTTCCTAGTGAGATCTTGAATACTTAGTTCTAAGTTGGTGCTTGCCAGGGTTAGTCTTTTCCCCATTGTAATTAATAAATGTTTCAAACTGGAGGTGTAGCTCAGTGCTAGAGTGTGACCTAGCATCCATGAGATACTGGGATTGATCCCCAGCACCTAAAAATTTTTGTGTGAAGAAATACTTTGGAACTGTAAATGACCTGTTCCTCAACAAACTTTCACCATATACTTGTAGCATCCATTGATGATTTTTTTTTCCTGAATAAAATTCTGATGGTTGCTGGGTGTGGAGGTGCACACCTGTAATCCCAGCACTTGGGAGGCTGAGGCAAGTTCACGACCAGCCAGTGCTACAGAGTGAGCTCAAGGCCAGCCTGAACTGCATAGTGAGACCCTGTCTCAAAAAAATGAAAAAAATACGAAAAATTTCTGATGGTTTCCAACTGGCGGTTTTTTAATTCTTTCATTACTTTCACATTTATTAGTTAGCATTTAGTCATAACTATCAGCATGGATTCATAGATTCATATCTTTTCACTATCATTATTTATTTTGGGGCTCCAATGCAGTCAGTGGTGCCCCCCTTCTGGTGGCCCCTGTGTGTTTTTGACATGTCTTCCTCATTCTTTAAACTTTTTTATTTTCTGACATAAAATAATCTCCAGACTCACTTTTTACTTTCTTTGCCCTCTGAATCAGCAGCTGATTGTCTGAGGAGCCCTGATTCCTTGTACTGGATGATGGTATTGAGGCTAGGATACAGACATTAGATAGGTTTTTTGGGGTGTTTTTGTTTGTTTTGTTTTCCAGTATTGGGAATCGAACTCACGACCTTGCGCTTGCCAGGCAGGTGCTGTGCCGCTGAGCTAAATCCCCAGCCCTAGATAGGTTTTTTGTTTGTGAGGTGTCATTGCTTTTGGTCTTCTCAGGGGACAGAGCCAGGAAGTGAGTGCATGCATGCATGTATATGAATACACACAGATGCATATGTGTGCAGTTATGTGAGTATACACACATCTCTAGTGTTTTGATCTGTGAATTTTGACTAATATAGAGACAAACACACATTTATTCACACATCTCCATTTTCAGTCCAGTACTGTAGGGTTCACTGCAGCCTTTCCATCTGCATATTTCTGATCTTACTCTCTGGCCATGAGGGGTATGGCTTCTAGTCATTCATGTAGAGTAAGCTGCTTCCTTAACCAGTGGGACAGGCTGCCACGCTCTGCTGGGTTCCTGTTGGTGACCACCTCCTTGCAGCAAAGCTCATAGGCTCTGCTGACCCCAGCGCCAGAAGAACAAGAAGGCAGGACATCTCGTAGTTGTTAGCCCTCCATTTAAAAAGTGTTTGAGCCATAACTGGAGCGATCTGCTCTTTGTGAAGTATTGTGTGGTCTGAATTCTGAAAGTAGTTGTACATTTAATGATCACCCCCAGTCCTTATGTCAGGGGTGCTAGAAGCTTGTTTTCAGGAAGGGCTTGTGGGGTCTCTGTTCCCTGCTTTCTCCTGTGGCCTTACAACCAGGTGGGTGCAGTTGCCCTGAGAATCTAAATGTGTTACTCGAGTACCACAGTCACTTTTGTCTTCTCAAGTTATTTAATCGCTTGCCTCAATGCCAGTTGATTCTAATAAGATGCCTTGGTTTTGGTTATTCTTACTCAGTATTCTTAGGCTTCTGACTTACACTTTCATTGTATAGTTTCAAATAGTTTGGCTTCTATATCAGAAACATTTTTTCTAATTATTGTTACACTTTTTAAAAAATAGTTACAAAGTTTTACTTGGACAATTTAAAATCAAGAGCAAACTAGCATCTTAGCATAACAGTTGGATTGGCATTATTGTACTGGAACAGTTGTATTGGCATTATTGTACTGGAATCATTAAGTCTTTTTTTTTTTTTTTTTTGGTACTGGGAATCAAACTCGACCTCAGGCTTGCCCGGCAAGTGTTTATGCCACTGAGCTATATCCCCGGCCCTTATTAGGTCTTTTTTATCTCTAAAAATACATTTAAATTTCCATTTTAGTCAACCACCTTTATCTGATTCTAAAATATTAAATGGCGTAGAGAAACATTTACCTAAATTTGTTCCCTCTTAATAGAGTGTCATTTAAGTAGAATGTGCTTGTTTACTTTATAAACATACTTCACAGGTTATTAATGCCTAATCTCTAATCATTGTAATGACACTGCCTCAGCTGTATAAGGTAACTTACACATACAGCTGTATAAAGTAACTTACATTTTACTTTGCATGTGTTTTGCATATCACACTATCATAATACAATTATATAGCAGTCCCATAAAAGCAAACCTGAAAAAGTCCATCATCGTTAACAGCTGTAGTTTGGAAGTCATCAGTATAATAAAATGTCTTTTTCAACTCTTATGTCTTGAAAAGACCTATACACTTGGGAAAACACAAATGTATTTAATATACCATGAGGTTACCAATAATTAACATCATAGCTATACAGAAATCTTTGCATATATTTATTTAGTTTTTACTCTTAAAGCAAAATGTAGATGTTTTTAACAGGTTTATATAGAATTATCAATTTTTTATTGACAAGAATTAAAGGAAATCTTTAGAACTCTTATAAATTTAGGAAACAGTGTTAATGACCACACATAGACTTATTACCCAATACAAGTGTAAAGTGTGTCTCATTTATACAGTAACAAAATGCTTATTCGATTAAAGGCAATAGATATAGATCAAGCTTTTAAGAGTAAGACAAAATTTAAAGATATGTCAAAATATTTGACCACTTTGTTTAGCTTTTAAATATAGTGTAAAAGGAAGCACTTATTTGTTACTTTGCATGTACTAGACTTTTCTCTTTTAAGAGTAGGAAAATTTATTGGAGAAAAGGAATGGGGAATAGGATAGCCCTGAGAGACGGGAGGGGTCCCAAATGGGTTGACCTAAACTTTTGTTGTCTTAACTCCATATAAACTTAACTTTAAAGCTTAACACCACAGTCTCTTGATTTTTCTTATGTATGGGTAATGCCAGATATGTAGGTTGAGTCATAAACTACAACAATAGCTATTTAATAACCAATCATAAACTGATTTTTGAAAACATTTTACAGGCCAACACTTAATCTTTTTAAAACAAATTTTTCTTAGTAACCAAAAGCCTAACAATGAAAGATATAAAAACTTGGTAAAATATAGAACCTTTGCTGTTTATGTAGTTTTTAAAATTTTACCAAGAGCATCCTGATCAGAAAACCTTACTCCTAGCTGTCCTGGCTTTCTTCACAACAGCCTACCCTGTGTCCTCTAGGGGTTCTTTTATCTGTTTTTTTCCTCTTTTTCTCTGCCAAAGCTCATTCTGCAGAGCCAGTTTCTCCCCAACTCTTCACTTCTACTTTTTCAAATAAACTTTGTCACAAAGGATACCTCTTTTTGTACGCCCCATCTGTGTTGCCAAGTAAGATGTGATGGGCTGGGTCTGAGGGTCCACAAGCTGAAATATGGAATTTAACCCACCCTTTTAAATTTATATGCAGTTTTGCTGATTCTTCAAGGAAAAATAATTTTCAAAATGCGTCAGTAAATGAGGTGTGAGAAGGTTTTATCTGTGGGAGATACAGGATGCACTCAAGAGTGGAAGGCAGGTGCTCAGAGAAATGAGGCACCTAATTACTGTTATATTTGTTCTGTTCCCTTGCTTTAGTTTTCTTCTTTAAGACTGCCATTGTAAAAAGAAAAAAAAAAAAAAAGACTGCTATTGTACTTATGGTACTTATGTTGGGTCTTCTTTATCTTCAGTGTTTTGTCACTTTCACTTTTTAGTCCTTTTACTTCTTTTGAAAGTGTTAAAATTTCCAGCCTATTTCTCTTAAAGTAGTACCTATTATTTTTATAACCCTTATTTCTACTAGTTTGATCTTCCTTTCAGTGGATTTTTTTCTTTGATTTTTGATTCTTTCCCTGAGATCTGTCTCTTAACTTCTGTACAGTTTCTGGGACTGTTACAATTTTTTTTTAATAATTTTGATTTATGGTATCCTTTCATGTTATGTATCATCTCTTAAAGTATTTTAAGCTTGTTTTAAAGTATTATAGCGTTCATCTGTTAGCAGCTTTTTATACTGTGTATTCATTGTCTTTAGAGATATTTCTTTTTTCCTTATAACTGGCATGATATATGATAAAAATACAGTGAATGTTAACATTTAAAAACTTTTTTACAGTAATAGACACATTGCCGTTCATCTCTCTCACAGTCCTCCATCTCACTTTGCACTTACTTATCCCATCTTTCTTGCCACTTTTTGAAGCAGTTCGAACAAGTCTTCTTTTGTCAGTGTTTGTTATGGCAGCTTCATGTCCTGGGTTAATTCCAAGTATTTACTGTTCATGCCAGGTCAGGTAACTAAGGTGGAAGAGGACACAGCCAATGTTTTTACAAGCCTGCCTTTTTTTTTTTTTAATGTATGTGGTGCTGGAGATCAAACCCAAGGCCTTGTGCGTGCAAGGCAAGAGCTCTACCACTGAGCCATATCCCCAGCCCCAAGCCTGCCTTTTTGTCAGAGAGTACGCGGCAGCAGCATTCACTGTGGTTCTGAACACATTTCGTGAAGATTCTCATGAAAAGATTTCTAGGACTGCTCCAGAAGGTAGCAAGAATGATAGGATAAGTATGTTCAGAGGTAAGGGGAGGATCATGAGGTTTCCTGGCAATGTGACTTTTACTGTAATAAATTTTAAAAATTTAAACATTCACTGTATATTTTGATTGTACTTTATATTAGATTTGACCGGTACCATTTTCTTTTTCTCATTTTTGTGTGATACTGATTTAGTTGGCCTTTCTCAATACACAGAGACCTTTCTGTCCATGTGTAATGTGTAAGATTGTACACCTTGCTGTATGAGATCTCATTCTCTTTCTTCACTTTATTTGGAGTTTCTCTTCTCTGTCTTTTTTGGTTGTGCCTGCAACCAAAGTACTTAGACTTGAATAAAAAAAAAAAAAGGCAGGCTTGTAAAAAAATCGGCTGTGTCCTCTTCCACCTTAGTTACCTGACCTGCATGAACAGTAAATACTTGGTTGCAGGCACAACCAAATATCGTATCTCTTCAGCATGGGTCTTGTTCCCAGCAGGTTCTGCTTAGCACAGCACTGTCTGGAAGAGAGTGTGGATTAGCTCTGGGAGTCCATGGTAACCCGAGAACGTGTTCTGTAGTGACCCACCGGTGTGTGCTTGTGCTGTTCACACGTTCTCCTCAGCATTGCCTGTGGTGCTAGAGGGTCCCTGCCGGGTGTTGTGGGTGTTTTTCTGCTCTGTGGGCTGGCAAATTCCTCTTCGTGTCCTCTGCTGCTTGTCACACAGATGCTGATACTACGCAGGCCCTATTTTCTTGTGTTTGGGGATTTTGTGCGTGGAGTTTTGATGTTGCTACTTACTTGCTCTGACTTTATGAAGGAATTTGGAGAAATTTAAAGCTTAAGCTGCTATCACAGAATTCACATAGCACTTTTCAAGTTTAAATACTGTGAACACCATGCTGGTTTCCATTGCAATTGCATTAAATTTGACTAAATTTAATGCTAAAAGTTGACTATATATGTTACATTTCTCTTGTTCACAGCTAGCAGATTGTTTTCTGTATCATCTACAGCTAGATTGCTATAAAAACTAAATTTCCTCTGTCTTTGATGGCCTCTTAAATTCATTAGCCAGAGAAAATGTATGGTAGAAAGAAATTTATATAAATAATAAATACCTGCATGTTTGTAAATTTGTCAGCAGCGTTGTTGAAATTTTTAAATATGTTTAAAATAGCTTTATTGAGATATAATTCACATATCATACAATTCTTTCTGCATTTTTAAGTGCCAGGAATTGGACCAGGGCTTTGTACATGCCAGCCAAGCACTGTACCACTGAGCTGCTACTCCAGCCCTGATTCTCTCATTTCAAGTGTACAATCAGTGGGGTTTGAGTACATTTGCAGATTCACACAGCAGTTCTGACAGGTGTATAGTGGTTCTGCACTCTAGTTACAGAGAGGGCTCTAACCCTGTACCCTTGGCTATGGCCACAGTTAATCCTGCTAACTGTAGATTTACCCTTCATTCTGGACCGGTTACTTTTCTGCTTACATAACTCTATTTCATGTAAACAGAATCATGTAGCATATGGTCCTTTGTGACTAGCTACTTTTCTTTGGCATAATGTTGCCACAGTTCATCCATGCTTAGCATTATCACTATTCAGGTTTTTAAAATTGTGTCATGTATTTAGTTCTTTTGAGACAGGGTTGCATGTAGTGCAGGCTGGCCTTGGACTTGCCTGTATACACCAGGCTGGCCTCGAACTCACAGTGATCCTCCTGCCTCAGCCTCCCAAGTGCTGGGATTGCTTGAATTTATTTTTAAATTAAATTTCTAATTTGTCTCTTATTTTCAGTAATACTCTGTGGTTTGGATAATTCATGTTTTACTTACCTATTAATTAGTTGGTGGATATTTGTTTCCTTTTTATCATGAATAATGTGGCTGTTAATGTTCATGAATCAGTTTTCGTATGTTCATTTGTTGTGGGTATTTACCTTGGAATGAGATTGCTGGTCATGTGATAACTATATGTTAAATCTTTTAAGTAACCACCTAATAATTTTCTGAAGCAGAGCAGTGTTTCACATTATCACAGGCAGTGTATCAGGGCACCAGTTTCTTTGTGTGTTTGCCAACACTTTCATTGACTGTCTTTGACTACCACCACATTGCTACTAGGTATGAAATGGTATTTTGTGGTTTCGGTTTTCATTTCAGATATTCAGTAACTATTTCATGTGCTTGTTGGCCGTTTGTCCATCTCTCTCAGAGAATGCTTATTCAGATTCTTTGCCCATGTTTGTTTGTATTGTTTTTGTTCTTCTTCTTCAGACAATAAAAGGTAGGGAGTGGTTCTTGTTGTGGTACCTAAGCTGACCTCAAACTCCTGGGCTCAAGTGATCCTCCTGCTTCAGCCTCCTGAGTAGCTAGGAGTATGGTGTGCTTGGCTCTTTGTCCATGTTTTAAAATTGGATTTTTATCCTTTTCATTATTACATCATGAGAGTGGATATGTCTCTTTTACCAGATGTATATCATTACTATATATCATTCTGTGCATTGTATTTTCAATCTATAGCCAGTAGCTTTTAAAGTGCAAAAGTTTTATTTTAAAGTCAGATTTCTCTGCCTTTGTTCTTTGTACTTTCGTTGTCATGTTTAAGAATGTTTTTGCCAAACCAAGGTCACTAAAATTTACTCTTGTCTTTTCATATTAGAGTTTTATACTTTTAGCTCTTTATTTCAGTGTATGCTTCATTTTGAGTTAATTTTTAAATATCGTGTGATGAGGGATATGAACTTTTTGTTTTTGTCTTTTTGAGTCAGGGTCTCGCTATGCAGTTCAGGCTGGCCTTGAGCTGACTTTGTAACCCATACTGGTCTTGAACTTGCAACGATCCTCCTGCCTCAGCCTCCTGAGTGCTGGAATTACAGGCATGCACCATCATGTCTGGCTGACATAGTTTCTGAGATACAGTATTTTCATTTTTTTCTTTCCTCCCTTCTTTCCTCCTTCTATCTCTTTCTTTCTCTTTCTTCCCTCCCTCTCTCCTTCCCTTCTCTTTCTTTCCTTCTTTCTTTTGCGGGCCTTGAACTCACTATGTAGCCCAGGCTGACCTCTGCTTCAGGCTCCTGGGTGCTGGGGATTACAGGCATGCACCACCATCCTGGCCATTTTTATTCAAGTCTAAGATTTTTGAAACGTGAGTTGTCTAGGTTGGTGTTTTTCCTTTTTAACTCACTTGAGATTGTTTTTAGTTTCATTTGTATAATTGATTTCTTACTTGTAAATACTGTGCTCGTAGAGTGTGATGCTTGTGACATAAGTTCAGTGAGAGTTAAAGTAACTTCATGGTCGAGTGTTGTCCTTTTTCATCTCTTGCGAACCTATAAAAGATGAATACTCACCAATTGGATGTAATGTTACATTTCTTAGATCAGGCTTCAGACGTTATCCTTTATGATTATTTTTAAATCTCTTATGTTGCTAATTGCAGTGTGTTAAAACTTCTTCCCAAAGCCAATGTGCATGCCTGTTGTCTCATCTGTACAGAAGGCTGAGGCAGGAGGAGCGCTCAATTCCAGGAGTTTATGGCTAGCCTAGACAACATAATGAGACCTCAAGCCAAAAACAGAAACAAGATAAGCAGAAATACTGCCAAGATAGTGGACTTTTTCTTTGCTTTCCCTTTTTAGTTCTGTTAACTTTATGTTTTAGTTTTTAATATTGAAAGTTTCAAGCAGTATGAAGGAAAGAAAACAGCATAGTCCCCCGCCTGCACCTGTAAGTGCTCTGCATGTCTGTGGCCCTTTATTTCCTGCCTTCCCTCTGCTCCGGGCCATGGCAGAGGGGTAGCCCCTCTGTTTCACGGCTCATGCCCGCACACCCTGCAGCCTGTTGGTAGCACTGTCCCTATGTCTGTCCAAAGCATGCGCATTGTAATGTCCTCTGGGCGGGTCTTCCATTGAACACTTACGTTTGCTTGAAGATGCTTTTGTCTCTGGTACTTTCTGAGAAGTTCTTGCAGGATGCAGGTTGACAGTTAACTTTTTTCTGACATTTTCAAGACTGTGTTTCAGTGTCTTTTGGCTCTGGTTGTTGCTGTGAGAAATAAGAAGTTCTCATTTCTGTTTCTTGTGGGTAGTCTTACTGGCTGGCTGCTTTAAAGACTATCTCATTTTCTTTGGTTTTCTGCAGTTTCACTATGATATGACTAGTAAAAGTATGTCATAAGTCCTTGGATGGTAGTAATTTTGAGCATTTTGAGGTTTTTTTTTCCCATTGTTTTGGTTTTTGGTTTTTTGAGACACAGTCTCGCTTTATAGTACAGGCTGGCCTTGAACTGTGTAGCCCAGGCTGGCCTTGAACTCATTGCAATCCTCCTGCCTCAGCCTTCCCAGTGCTGGGGTTACAGGTGTGTGCCATCATGCCCGGCTTTGAGTTAAACTCTGCACTTTTTACTCCAAAATGGTGAATAATGTTCTCTAAGTAGCTGAGTACGTAAGTGAATGCTTGCTGCTTATGAAGGGCCCATGGTAGATCAGGATTTGCATATGTCTGTTCATGTCAAGAGACATGGTATCTTCTCTTCTGCAGCACTGTTGGAAGTGATTATGAAGAACGGAAGCACTGCTGGAAGCAGCCCGCACTGCCGGAAGCCTGCAGGGGGTGGGGAGCAGAGCAAAGCCAGCTGCACTAAGGATGGCGCATCTGGGGGTGCCGAGAGCGGGAAGGGCTACACCCGTGACCAGGTGGAGGGCGTTCTCAGGTAGGATCTCCGTCCAAGTGGCTTCTAGGGGAATTTTGTCAAAAAAAGTGTTTAAAATAAGACAGATATGGAGGAATTAACTCTGGATGTTTAAAAAAAAAATTTTTTTTTTTTCCAGAACTGAGGATTGAACCCCAGGCCTTTGTATGAAGCTGAATCCCCAGCCCTTTCTATTTTTTTTTATTTTGAGACAGGGTCTGAGTTGCTCAATTGCCTGGGCTGGATTAGAACTTGATCTCTGCAGAGTGCTGGGGATACAGGTGTGCAGCACCATGCCGGGGTTGTGTCTTTGTCAGGTCTTTGTGTTGGTATTGAGTCGGGGAGGGCTTGTGCATACCAGTGTGGGTGTGTTTCTGCAGTGCCCAGAGTTCCTGGCTTTGGTGGGATGTGCCCAGGCTACAATGAAGGGCGGTAGTGGTGTAGGGGTTTCGTGTGCACTGAACACGGGGGTTGTGTTGCGGCTTCACCTTTTCATGGAGTGGAGGCGAGTTGGTCTCCTGAGGAGCAGCTGAGGTTGAAGCTGACTTGTAGTGCTGAAGAGCACCCAAGTGGGAAGGTTGCTGAGTGAGATTGAGGGCCCAGTCACGATGGAGATCCTGGGGTCCTTGCGGCTGGAGGAACTAATTCAGCAAAGAGTCTGCCCAGCCCTGAATGCTGTCAGCTGCTGCAGCTGGGCACAGGGTTTGACTAGGTGCCAAAGGGGTGGCCAGGAGGAAGCAGCATCTGGGAGGCTCCAAGGTGCATCCCAGGCTCAGGGCTCTGACGCCCACAGCTGGGCGTCAGAGATTGCACCAGGTGTGAGACCAGCATGTGAGTGGAGTGGTTGTTGAGGTCAGAGAAGAGGTAAAAAGACACTAACCTTGTTGGTTGATAAGTGTTGGGTGAGATTACAAAAGATACAAATAAGTGATTGGATAATTTTATGAAGAAAGTACAGGATCTGAGTCACAGTTTTAATAAAGAGTTGGAGAGTGTGAAAAAGAAACAAGCAGAAATCTGCTGCACTCTGGGAGGCTGAGGCAGGAGGATTCCAGGTTCAAGCCCAGCCTGGGCAACTTAGTCAGACCCTGTGTCAAAAAAAAGAAAAACGAAAAACTGAAAAATGTTGGCAAAGGATGTGATCAGTCATAAGGTAGACTGTCAGAATTTGTGGATAAGGTTAATGTAGTAGATCCTTTACTCAGTGATACTCAGAAAACAGTAAGAGACAACTAGAAAGACCTAAGGATTAGGGTTAGGAAGAGAAACTCTAATAGCATACAAATTTACTCATTGAAGTCATTGTGAAACATTTCTAAATTTAGGGAATGAGATGGATACCCAGGTAAGGAAGGCATTTGGAATCTCGCTTAGACATAAGCAGAAGGGAGCTTCTCCAGGACACATCATAGTCAAGTGACAAATTCAGAATAAGGAGAGAGTGCTGAATACTATCACAGAAGAAAGCCAAATAATTTAAAACAATAAACCTATCAAAATAATAAAATTCTTAGCACAAACTTCGAAGGCCCAGAGAGTTTGGAGTGAAGTTTTTTAAGCCCTAAAAGAAAAAAGTTGCTATCCCAGTATCTTGCGGGATTATTCTTCAAAGTTGACGGAAATAAGGACCTTCCACAACAAAGAGAAACTAAAGAAATTCATGACCACCAAACCAGCATTGCAGAAATTACTTAAGAAAATCCTAAACAGCAAGGCCAGCGTCAATGAAGAGCCCAAAGGAAAGAATATGTCTAACTGCAAAAGTAGTTAAACTAAAGGAATCAGGGCTCAAAAAATAACACAGTGACAGGAACTAGTAAACACCTTTCAGCAGTCAGCCCCAAAATAAATGATCTTAACTCCCTAATCAAAAGCTGTGGACTGATAGACTGAGTCAGCAAAGAGGACCCAATGACATGTTGTCTGCAGGAGACACACCTCATCGCAGACTGAACCGGAGAGTGAAGAGAGCAATGCTGCAGGCCGCTGGGTCCTGCAAGCCAGCAGGAACAGCTGTTCTAATTGGTGACAAAGCTGACTTCAACTCAGCACATCAGAAGAGACAAAGAAAGGCTACTACGTACTGGTGAAGGGAACAGTAATAATTATAAATAGATGTGCACTCAATGTGAACATACCCAGTTTCACAAAACTAAAATTATAGGTAGACACCAATACAAGTGAGGGGGCTTTAATAATCTATCATCACAAATTGGCTGTTGAACCAGAACAACAACAAAAAAATCAACAGAGGAGTATCAGAGTTGAACCACATTATTGAACAGAGGGATTTACAGATACCTTTTAAAAGGAGAATACATACTCTCAGCAGCCCGTGAAACTTTCTCTTAAACAGATTGCATTTTAGGCCATAAAGCATGTCTGAATAAGTACAAAAGACCTGAAATAATCTCTTGCATCCTACCGTAATGGAATGAAAGTAGAAATCAATAGCAGAAGAAACCAGAAATTAAACAAACAGGACATTGAATAATACATTCTTTACAATGTACCTCTATACTTGCTTTGTTTGTTTGATTGCTTGTTTTGAGACAGGTCTCACTATGTAGCATAGGCTGGCCTTAAACTCGCTTATGTAGCCCAGGCTGGCCTTGAATTCGCGGCAAACCTCCTGCCTCAGCGTCCTGAGTGCTGGGATTACAGGCATGTGCTGTCACCCAGCAGAACTTGCCTTTTTGAATGTAGCTCCTCACTTAACCTCCAGTTTCATCCCTTTTCCTGTAGATGATACAGTTTTGTTCTTGGTGGCTGGACAGTGTGCTCCCTGAGACCTGTGAGTGATGTGGTGATTCTCTCCTGTGCCGCAGTCCTGGCATCGTGACCATGGTGTGATGTGCTGAGGTTCTTTCTGGTCTGTTTGGGGTTCCAGGTGCCTTCTGAACCAGCATATCTGTAGCTTTCCAAAAGTTTTTGCAGATTTTTTAGTGATTAATTCCTAAATTTGGTCATTTAATTGTATGTCAGTGTTCCCGGATGTTCTGTTCATAATTTCATAAAACATGGTTTTATCCTTAGAGAATGTGTTTTTTTTCAATAAGGACTGGTGAAATATCAGACATAGGTGCATAAAGCTAGTAAAATTGAAGGACATACTTTTAAAGGTGTTTATTATAAAAGCGTCCACATAAACATAAAATTAAAGAACTACCCGAGGAGCCCCCACATCCCAGTACCTGGCATCAGCCATTATCAACATTCAGTCAGTCTTGTTTCTGTTCCTCACCATCCGCATCTGTACACGCTCCATGTATTCTACCTACTCTGTCAGAGTTGTTTGAAGCAGTGTGGTGGTGCGTGCACGCCTGTAATTTTGACACTAGGGAGGCTGAGGCAGGAGAATCACTGAGTTCAAGGACAGCATGGGCTGCATAGTTTAAAACCAGCCTGAACTACCTGGTGAGATCCTGTCTCAAAAAAAAATTTTTTTTGAAGCAAATACAGCACTTCATTTAATATGCAGTGTGTGTTTGGATTTTTCTAATTTTCTTAAAAAAGTTTCTGTATTAGGGGATAAATTACATCAATTTGATTAATATTTCTTACATTTTCTTTTATTGTATCACAAGCTCCCTACCCCTTTTTTCCTTGATATATTGTTGTACAAATAGGGTCACTAGGTTGAGTTTCTGTTATACTGGATTTGGTCGTTTTCATCCTCATTCTATTTTATCCTGTTGCTGGGCATGGTGGCACACGCCTGTAATCCCAGCACTCGGGAGGCTGAGGCAGGAGGATCCTCGGGAGTTCAAGACCAGCCTGGGCTACAAAGTGAGCTCAAGGCCAGCCTGAATTGCATAGTGAGACCCTGTTTCAAAAAGACAAAAAAAAAAAAATTATCCTGTTTTATCATGTGTATTTCTTACAAATTTAAAAAAAGTCTAGATTTTTGACTAGAAAAAAAATTGGTAAGGGACCCAAATTAGAGATTGATTCCCTGAGTCAATTTTAGTGTCTTTTTATTAAATACACATATTTTTTCTTCTGGGAACTAATTATGATTGGAATATTCTTTCAAGAGAATCTCTGTATTATTCACAATCCTTACAGGTCATTGTCCTCTCAAAGAGTCGCCTAGCTGACTTGTGGAGTGCTCTCTCCGTTTGTCCTTGCAGGTATTGCTATAGTGAGGGTGCAGATCAGCAACAGACACTGCTGTGTGTTTTTGTTCTGTTACCTATACACAAGGGGCTTTTCTCAAGAAAGCACGTTACCTTGTTGATGAGCAGGGCTGCGCAAACAAACTGCCCAGTAAGGGTTTGGCTCAATGGGAGAAGCCATGCAGCAGCACCACGTTCACTGCATAAGTAGAAGCCTGCTAGCAGGAAGCTGGAGAAATTGTGTGATTTTAAAAACTGATATTCTGTAGAACTGAACTCTATTTGTTGTCTTTGAGTTGGAATGTATTAAAAAATAATTGAGGAAACTGTTGTCATAGCCTCACTTGAAGAAGTTTCTAATGCTTCACTGAGAAAAGGCCTGTCTCGTATTTTAAGAACACAGAAATGAGTGTGAAGTTGTTAACTGGGTGGTTACTATTTTTATCGCCTAGGAGTGTCCCAGGGACAGCTGGTGACTTGTCTGAATTGGGAGGATTTGAACTGAAGATACAATGTAACCTGCATGTCTTTTTTTTTCAGACAAGGTCTCACTGGTTACCTTGCTTGACCAGGTTGGCTTGAAGTTATCATCCTGCCCCAGCCTCCTTAGTAACTGGGTTCCAGGTCTTTAAATAAAAGGAAGATAAATCATTTTACTAAATGTAAAAATCCTTTGTCTCAGAACTATTTCCCTAAACATCAGTTAACTTTTGGGTCTGTTTAAATAGTCAGCCATCGTCCTTCCTCTCCTACCCACTGTGCTTTTCGTTTTGTTTTTTTGAGACAAGATCTTGCCATGAACCCAGGCTAGCCTTGAACTCCTTGCGATCCTCTTGCCTTAGCCTCCTGAGTGCTGAGACTACAGGCTTGTGCCACCACGCCTGACCTGCTGTGCTTCTCTGTCATGAGGCTACTACCAGGGCTGGACTGCTTGCTCTTCCATTATTGAGTTCCAGATGTGTCTCTTTGGCTTTGCTGTATAACATCCCTTTCTGTGATGAGTTTCCCCTGTTGTCTACTATTTTGTTGTAAAGATAAGAGGTTGGTGTAGGTTGGTGGTTGTGCCCAAGCTTGAGGGGCTGTCTGCTGGTGGCCTTCTTGCTGGCCGAGCCCCACAGCAGCACAGCGCATCACACAGCAAGAGACAAGGAGAAGAGAGTCCGTATCTTCTTTCAGAAATTTCTTGGTAAGGCTGAGGCAGGCTTGACTCTTTGGGAAGGAGCAGACTGTGCAGTATGTGACAGGTGCGTACACCGGGGCTGTAGGGTATGATGAGTGGCTGTGGATTGAATTAGAGATGTGTGGTGATTTCTCACTCACGTGTGGCCTCCTCGATGAATGAATGTGTTTGAAGCATGACTTAAAATCTGTAGTCTTTAGCTTGTCCATGAGGGGTGATGACTTTATAGCTGTCTGCTGTCTTTTCAAGATTTTTCCCTCTAAGGTGTCACAAAAAACTCTGAGCAGGGAAGACGTGGCAGAGCGGGAGCATCTAAGAATTAGTGAAGTGACTGTTTTTCCTATCTGGTCTTCTTTCTCTCTGCCAGTTCTGAGCACTCTGAAGTAAGCTAGCGCATGGAGGATTCTGGTTTGCCTTCCCTGTATTATCTAGTAACCCTGTCCTAAGCCGCTCGTCTTTTATGCTCAGGAAATATCTGTGAACCACTTTTAGAGGCTTAATCTGGAATAGTAACATCTGTCCAGTCAAGTAAAATAGTAATGGCTTTGGGATTGTTCGCTGTTCAGTTCATCACTGCTTTTCTGCATTCAGATAATGCCTGCTCTGTGCTCACATCTGGTGCTTGTCTCATGGTCTGTATTTAGTTCTCTTCTATTTCAAATTAATTTTGATGTCCCTGCATATCCTCATCATGGCATTCATCACCTTGGGTCTGAACATGTCTTACTGTGTCTTCCCTCAGCCTGGAGCCATCATCTGTCCAACACACATGGTAAACAGCACACAGTTCTGCCTTCAGAGAGCCTGCAATCCAGGAGAGTAATCAGACAACTAAACTGGCTGTCCGTAAGGGAGGAGGCTTACGTTTAGAGGGCTTTGGAAGTATACAAGAGAGGCTTTGGGCTTGGATGGAAAGAGGAGCTAAGCTGAGGTCTGAAGAAGTTGTAGCAGCCAGCTGGCAAACCAGGAGCATCGGCACACACCTCAGAGGGAAGGGGGTGTGTCAGTCCTGATCGTAGGAAGGGAATGGAGAGGGGTGCTGCCACTGTGGGCTGACAGCTCCCTGTCGAGTTCTGAGACAGCAGGGTGCTCAAATCAGATGAGCAGAGGTTTGAATCCTTATTACTTTGAGGCTTCCTGATCACCGTGTTTAAAATGGCAGCTCTGTTCTCAATTCTGTTCTCTGTTGATTTTTTTTATTCACCATTGCAGCATCTGAAACAGTGCCTAGCAGAAAGACAGTAAACTACTGTTGAAGAAATAAGTTCCAATTCCCATTTGTTATTGGTCATGTGACTTTAGGCAATTTATGTAAGCATTCAGAGCCTTGATTTCCTAGTTGGTCAAACAGCAATAAAACCTACCCAGTAAGGAGTGAATGAGTGCTTTGTATAAAATAATCAGCAAGATCAAGTCTGCAGTTCTCTATGTGAAGTCTTTGTGACCAGATATAGTTTGGTATTTGGAATTCTCCATCTTTAGAAAGTTGATATTATTAGACATGATCGCCATTAACTTAGCAGGGTCTAGGGCAGCAAACCATAACCAAGCAGTAGGATTTGGGCAGCAAAATAAACTCAAAAAAAAATGGATTAAGTGAAGACCATGATAGCTTTGTTTCCTTTTGGGCCAGATTTTACCTTTGAAAGCTCAAGTTGGGTTTTAGAATAACTCATTTTTCAGAGCTTTCTGGGTGCTGAGCACGATATGGGCTTGCAGAGCTCTGCCCGATGCAGTTGGTACTCTGTCAGTGCTGCTGTCCCTTGTACTTAGTTCTCTTTTACAGTCACCTGTGTCTAACCATCTCACAGAGAGAGGCTCTAACGGTGAGGATTTCTGTTTTGTTTGCTGTTCTGTTTCAGGTGCTACAAGAATACTGGGGCATAGTTGATGTTCACTGTTTCTGACTGAATAAATGTCATGTTGTTAAAATAAAACTGATTTGTGTTCATGTTTTTTTAAAGTACCTAAAGTAGCAAAAAATTCAATTTTAATTAATTGTTACTAGTTTTAGCTGGGCATGGTGGCACACACCTGTTATCCCAGAACTCTGGGAGGCTGAGGCAGGAGGATCAAAAGTTTGAGTCCAGCCTGGGCAACATAGTGAGATCCTGTCTCAAAAATTAAAACTATAAAAATAAAAGGGCTGGAAATAAAGGTCAGTGCAAAGGCCCTAGGTTCAATCCCCAGTCCTTAGGGGAAAAACAAACAAACAAACAAAGCTAAATTTTGAAAGATGGTATAATGAATTTTTGTTGATGTGATTATAAGAAAATTCTGTACATTTCTACAGTCTTATATAATTCTTTCACTTTTTCCTTCTAGTTCATATAACAAATAGTGAATGCTTCCATCATGAAAGGAGAGCTAAGGCTCATTCATTCCAAAAATATTTCCTGAGCATCTATCCTGTACCAAGCACTATGATGGCTCAGGTTCAGTACTTAAAAAGAAAACTGTTAGATTATTTCACCTGTCTCCACTCTTGTTATCAGGATGCCAAGCCATGATTCACTACTAAGGCCACAAAGTTCAGTGCTGTAAACAGTGCTGAGACTGCTGGGAGTGAACCTAAAGGCTCTTGGGGCACCATGTTTCTGCCATTCGGGGACGCCCTGCACCATGGCTTCTATGATGCCAGGGTAGGAGGCTGTGGCAGAAGTTGGCATCCTAGAGAACTTCCTGTTCTCTGCTCCATTTGGAATAGTTTTCTGTTCCTAATATATTTTAAATCCTCTAGGCTTAACTCTGTTTCATCTTTAAAGTACAAATGGAGATTGGGTTTAATAAACATCTTTGGGTCCTATATTATATTTTATTATACTTTTTTATAAAGGACCTGGGATCTTGCAAAGAATGACTCAGATAAATACCCATTCACAAAATGGTGCTAAGTTAATTTGTCTTGACATTTAAACCATTGGGTATTGGAATAGTGCTGCATACACTAAACTGTTGCTTTGGTACTCAGTTGGATCAACATTATATAAGAATTCTTAGCTCTGACATGCTCTTGAGAAATTTTTGAAATTTTCAGTCACTTACGAGTATTGTTTCCATTTGCCATGTTAGTTACAGTGAATGTGCTGTCCTTCATCTGCAGTTCCTGTGGGCTTTGCTTGACTCCTCAGTAGTTGTGATAAATTGCACGAAGGACCTTCCTCGTGGCTTACTCTCTTAGACTGGGAAAAGGCTGGAGGAGTGGTCTGCAACCACAGCACAGTAAGGCAAGCTACCCTGAAAGGAGGAGCTGGCATTCAGTTTTGAAAAAACAGTCCACAGATAGTTCATTATACTATTCTGAAAAATTAAAAAGTAAAGATGTTCCGTGCCATTCTTCCTTGAAATTTACACAACATGCTTTCTGTTTACAGCATAAACAAATGTAAAAATTACTACGAAGTACTTGGAGTTACAAAAGACGCAGGTGATGAAGATTTGAAAAAAGCTTACCGAAAGCTTGCTTTGAAGTTTCATCCAGACAAAAACCTCGCACCTGGAGCAACAGATGCATTTAAAAGTAAACTTTTTTTAAAGTAAATTCTTTAAAGCTGCTTTACTAAGCTCTTTTTAGAATTCATTTTGCAAGGTTTTGAAATACTAAATTCTGCCTTTGGAGTGGTGCATTTAAAAACCAGTATGCGCAAGAGCCTATGAAGTCCTTTAAAATTTTAGTACTAACATGTTTTGTCCAGACCCAGACCAGTGCTTTTGGCTTCACGCAAGCAGCTGCCTGTTTGATGGTCTTACATCTCTGTTCTAGGGACTCTTCCTGCATGCTGTCTCCCACTGAGAAGTGTGGGTTGATGATGTTGCATGATTCCTAGCATGTTCTGTCTGCTTCTAAGTCACACTAAAAGTACAGTTTTTTTGAGGTTTTTTGCTAGAGACTGTATAGAACTGGGATGTTAGAATAGCAGTCTGCCAGGGTTCTTTTTATATTTCTGTTAAACCTGGCCACTTTTGCATTTTTCACATGTAATTCTGACTAGCGTGATGTTTTTTTCTTTTTAAAAGTTGGTTTCTTTTCTCCTGCCTAATACTCATTTTTCTTTATTTTCTTTCTCAGTATTCTTTTAGTCTTTTGCCACTTAATAAATAAATGTTGGAGAACTCATCTTATAACTTCATATTTTGTTATAATTTATTTGTAATACTTCTAGTTCAGAGTAGAACACTTAGCTTTGTGATTGGTTGTTCCTGTGAATCAGACACTCATACCGGCTGTGCAAAGCACTGGGGTCTTGAAATAGAACAGGAACAACACACTCACTTTAATACTGTTTCAGAAAGATAGACTGAATTGGTCCCACATACAAATAATATTAAAATTGTTTACAAAATGTTTTTGTTTCTTGGAGGAAGTTGCCAAGCAGTATACATTTGGGAATTCCTAATGTATTCCAGTAACAGTACTGTCAAAGCAGTTCTGGTGAATGAAGGTAAAATACCACCTTTGACAGTGACAGCTTTTTCAGTTCCTTAATGAAAAGTGACACATTTAAAGTACAGAAAAGCTACCTTATCCAAAAACATGGACTTACAAATCACATTGCTGTCAGTTCATCATTTTGAGAAACGCTTCTAGAAAACAGGGCCATTATTTTTTGTCTTTCAGTACACAAATCCAGAATCTAACAAAACTGACACATGTAATAGCACTTAAGTAAATTTCTAATTTATTATTCAAAAAGTTAGGACATTCTGGTAAAATTTTTCAGATAGAATAAATATATTTAATTTGTTTCATTGCCAGTATATAACTTCTATGAAGAATTATAAACTTCAATGAATGCAAAATGTTTTTCATGTGTGCAGTCACAAAGTTACTTGTCTTGGGATAATCCTAAGTGTATGCATGTAGACTGATGTCGCTGCATTTCTAAGAGGGGAGCAGTGTTTGTGTCTCCTCAGGAAGCCAGCTGGACGCTCTGTGGGGTTTCACAAAGGTGGTTGTATATGGTATGGTACATTTCAGAGATTCATGCTCTGCTTTGCAGAATGAGAAACAGCGCTTACCAGTCTGCTAGAAGGTGATTTATCTCTCTCAGAGAGGCTCACATTACTCAATACACAAGAGAGTGTCTGTAATCAGAATGCCTGTTTATTAGTCCCAAAGAGGACTAGAATTGGGAATTGGTTGATGAGCCCATTCTTCATTGAGTGGAAACTAAATAGAAAACCCAGGTTGTAATCACAGACACTTGGTGAGCAAGTGCAGTGGGAAAATCTTGCAGCGAGTGTCATCACACAGAAGGGCAGGTTTCATTCTTGCAGCACACAGCATGTTTTTCATACTTTCTGAATCATTTCGTATTTAACCAATTTTTCTTGTGTTTATCTCTAAGCACTGTTAATATTTTGGTCTTTTATACAAAAGGTGAAAAGTATAGATTGATTATAATTACTGAGTCATTATTTTATAGAAAATGGAAACCACTTGCTTTTTATTTTCTCCAAGAATACAAAAGGAAGAGGTAACTGGTTTAGGGAATTAAATTAGATAGATGTTTCCTATGTGTGTTTATAGTTTTAAAAATAAAAGATTACATTCAAGGACAGTGAACTAAATGTTGCTATTTCCTCTTTTGGGATTATAAGTTTTTCAAAGCAGGAAAAATTATATTTACATATAGAGTAACTTCCACAATATATCTAAGCACATTTAAAAATATTCTAATGAAACGGCTCCCTTCCGTTCCTGTCAGCATAGGTGACACTAAAGTACCAGGGTGGGATGCAGCTCAGATGGAGAGCTGGCCTCGCATGCATAGTGGCTAGGCTTGATCCTCAGCTCCACAAAAACAGACAAAGAAACAAACGAACCAGCAGTTACATCATCTTCACAGCGTTTCAGAGTGAGTGGTACCATGCCTGTGGGCATGGCTATGCAGGTGGTAGAGACCAGCAGTTTGTTTGTGGATAAGGTACTGTGCCTATGTTAGGTCTGCTAGTTAAATATTAACATCTAGAGTTTAGGTCTAAGAAAAAAGGAGTTCTATATTTTGGCCTTGTTCTTACAGAGAAATGGCAGGGAAACAAGTTGATTTATCCCTTCCTCATAGACCTTATAATTCATAAAGGGGACTCAAATTTCACACAAAACATTTGGAATATAGTAATCCCTAACATCTAACAAACATTTTGTAGTTTTTCATTCCTGTTTTTTAATTTAATACTTACTTACTAAAAATTGAAGGCATCAAGGGACCAATGTCATCCTCAGTTGAGACTCAGATCAACTGACCCAGTTTCTCCTAAAAGATTGACTGTAACCCAATACCCAAACATAGAAGAATGTCTGGGAACAAAGTAAAATAGAAGCGGTAGCAGTAAGATCAGAGTCAGTGGAGAGGCCATCACAGGGCAGGTGCGAGTGAGACTTCTCCAGAGGTGAGGGTGATTGCTTGCTGAAAGGAAAAGAGGGTACTGGAAGCTTGGAAGTGGAGATGAGCAGTGGCTTCAAAGTCAGCAGGGTTCCACTTTCAGGAGGGCAGAATAGGCACACTGTGCCTCTTTATTCCTCCTACTAAGTATAACTGAGAAACCTGAACATTATATAGTGAACAAGTAAGATGAATATCAGAAGACTCTGCAAGGTGGAAAAAAAGGGTGGACTGGTTATGGGTTAGGTACCTCGGAACAACATGGTAGAATGAGTTGTTTATGCAGTTTATTTTTGTTTTGCCTAACGTACTCCAGATTAGGTGGTGGAGGAGCAGGCAACCCAAAACACCAGTGGCACAAACAAAATGAAAAGTCTGTTTTCTTTAGCTAAACAACCAGGAAAGGGACAGCCTAAAAAAAAAAACAGAAAAATAATTGCTACTCTGCTGCAGTGAAATACTACAGACCCAAATTGGCCTCACCTTGACCCATCCCAGCAAAGGCTCCAGAGAGAGCCTGGACTGCCCAACCCTCTGTGTAAAGAGAGGGTTGGATTTTTAAGAAAGGTTCCTTCCTTTTTTCTTCCCTTTTCACTCTTTCTCCCCTGTCACAGTGTCAGAGGAGATAATGTGGGGAGCCTAGACTTCTTCCCCAACCTGGAGATTACAGAGATGACTGCTCTCCTCACTAGAGGGGCCTGGTGAAGCATTAGGCCCTTTGCCACCACCCAAGGTGACAAACTCCTGTCTGTAGTGTTGGTGCACCTCCACAGAGCCGTCCCTTCTAGCCTGGGAATTGTAAGTGCAGTCCTGAGGGGAAGCTGGGAATCTCATCTCTGCCCAGGAATAATGAGAGTCTCCTACTCCTGCTTGATCGTCACCAAAGTCCAAGGAGAAAACCTGAACTGCTGTTTGTACTGGAAGTGATGAGGTACTCTGCCCCCTTACTCTATTAGAGAGGTGTCGCAGGAAAAAAATTAAAACAGAAGGTTTAAATAAGGCCCAGAATCTCATGATAGTCCAGATAAGTTTCAATTGAAAATTACTTGCCGTTTTTGCAAGAGCTAGGAACTTCTCAAGCTGAATTGAAAAAGTCAATCAATAGATGCCCATATGACAGAAAATTTAGAATTGCTTAGCAAAGATTTTTTAAAGTAACTATCATAAAAACGACTCAATGAGCAAGTATGGATATGCTGGAAACTAAAAAATAAGATTCTCAGCAAAGAAAGAGAAAGCCTGAACAAAAAAAATAGAAGCTATTAAGGACAAAATGGAAATTTTACAACTAAAACTTTTAAAAATGTAAAGCAGCAAAGGCAAATCATGCTTAACCTACAGAGCAAAAGCAGTTTGAATTATGGGAAGTTCATGTCAGAAATGATGGCAGCAGAAGAAAGTTGCATATTTTTCAGATACTGAAGTAAAAGAAACCATCAACCCACAATCTTCTACTTGGCAAAGATACACCTTAAGGAGAAGGAAAAAAATCAAACATTTTAAGATAAAGGAAAAATAAGAAAGTTTGTCATTAGTGAACATGCCCTAAAAGAGTAGCTGAAGGAGGTTCTCTCAGCAAAAGGAAACAATAAGAGAGTGAATCTTAAAATGGTACCATGGTCTCATTTGTGCCCACCTCCCCGACATGGGTACGTTGAATCCTCATTGCCAATGTGAGGGATCCTTGGATGGGAGACACCATCAGGCACCAAGAAGCAAGCCCTCCTCAGACACCAGGCTCTCAGGGCTTTGGTTCCAGATTTCAGAATTATAAGAAATACAGTTCTATTTATAAACTACCCAGTTTGTGGGTACAATATATTTGATTTTCTTCTTGAACTTCTAAATTATGGTTGACATTTGAAGCAAAAATTGTAACTCTGGCTGATGTGGCTCTAAACTAATGTTAACGAAATATATAAGGCAATTACACTACAAATGTGGGAATATAACAAGAAGTAAAGGGAGTAAGGATTCTGTACTTCAGCTGTGAAGATGATGTCAAAATAATATCAATAGGCTGTCATAAGTTATGTATATATAATGTAATACCTAGAGCAACTACTAAAGAGATATTCAGAAAACACTATAGATAAACCAAACTGGAGTTCTAAAAAGTGGTTCAAATAAATTA